CTATCTGTGTTTATTTTGTTTTTGATCAGCTATGAAAATCCTTTTTGCTAATGATGTTCTAATCTACCTATGTTTTTCACCGAGTATATCAGTAATTTTAGAAACTTTAATATATCAATAATTTAACGAAACAAATCTCATTACTTTAACACCTTTTTGCAGGAAATGTAATACTGTAAATTTTTTACAGATAATAGCATAATCTAATTCAATATTTTAGTCGCTGCGGGCCCTAATTCTAGTGTTTAAGGTTTTTATTCTGATAAATATAGTGCTTACCAGCTGAAAAAAAAAGAATAAATCGTATTTCTGCTATAAATTAACCAACTGGGTGGGTTTTTTGGTCTCGTACTGTACTTTGTGCGCCCAAACAATGTATGGTTTATTCCTCAAAAACTTTTTCTTAAAGTTTTAAAGCATTCATCTAAATATTTTACTCTACTTTCTCACCAGTATACGTGGAACATAAGATAATATTATGTTTGTAATGTCTATTTGTATTTTCAACCTGAATAAAATGTTATGTGATACATGGGCTAAACAGCCAGGTCAAGAGAGACTCATGTTCAGACATAGCAATCCCTAGTTTAGACCTGTTGACCAAAGAGAAGCCAACCAGCAGCAAACTGCACCACTACTCTTATAGATTGGCTGTCACAATTATAATAACTCCAGAGAAGAGTGTGGAACGTGTTCGGCAGCATGTCGCGGCTCGAACCTTGTACATTTCTATCCGCTCAGCCTGTTCGACATTACATCTACATATTTTCAATGTGATACAAAAATTGTTGCATATAATTCTAAAAGTCATAAGAAAATTGTATCTAAACAAATAAATAAATTGTGTACTGGGACTAGAGAGTGCAGTATAGTTTCTTTTTCGTGCATAAATCACAGTATACTCGCAATACAGGTACAATATACTTTGTTAAAATACAGACCCAAGGTATCTTGTAAATATACAGACAGGTACATGATGTGTTTTAAAACTACAGAAGTAAGATGCTTGTAAAAGTAGACGTTCACGATGTTGTGTAAAAATACAAGACTGAGTGTAATACGTTTTCGAAAGATACAGACCCAAATTATTTTATAAAGATATAGAACCAAATTATTTTATAAAGATACACGTCCAAAATGTTTTATAAAGATATAGACCCAAATTATTTTATAAAGATACAAGTCCAAAATGTTTTATAAAGATATAGACCCGTATTATTTTATAAAGATACAGATCAAAATGATTTGTAAAGGTACAAGTACAAAATATTTTATAGAAATACAGGCCCAAAATATTTTATAAAGATGCAGGTCCGAGGTGTTTTATGAAGTTACAGGTCCAGAACTTTTTATGAAGATACAGGCTAAAAATGTTTTATAAATATGCAGGTCTAAAATATTTTGTGAAAATACAGATCCAACATGTTTTGTAAAGATAAAAATCTGGAATATTCTCTAAAGTTATAGGTACAAAATGTTTTTAAAAAGGCTTAGGTTCAAGATATTTTGTATAGAAACAAAAGTAAGATGTTTTGTAAAGATGGATATTAAAGAAGTTTTACAAAGATACGGTTGTAAGGTGTTTTATAGAGATACAGAAATGATGTACTTCTTAAGACATAAAAATGATACAGTTCATTAACATACAGTTCAAAAACGTTATATAATGATTCAAATCTAAAACGTTTTGAAATAAAAGTGTTTAAGTGATTTCACTACTAATGTTACCGGTGGGAGTTCAGAAACGTTGTATAATGATTCAGATCTAAAACGTTTTGAAATAAAAGTGTTTAAGTGATTTCACTACTAATGTTACCGGTGGGAGTTCAGAAACGTTGTATAATGATTCAGATCTAAAACGTTTTGAAATAAAAGTGTTTAAGTGATTTCACTACTAATGTTACCGGTGGGAGGTATTTTGATGATGTCATTTTTTAAGAATTTCGTTAATATCTAGTTTGGAATATTTCATTAGTAAAGATACAGCTTTAAAACTTTGCTTTAGTAGTGTTATCGATTTAAAATATTTCATTGACAGTTATTTTCTCGTTGGTACATCTTAGGTATAAATGTTTTATTTACTTACAGATTTAAGTTATTCCTTTGGAAAGGTTACAGGTTTATGAAACTGTGTTGGAATCAAGTTATTAGTATAATTAGTGACTGTTTAAGATTTCTTGTTGGTAAACTTCACGTGCGAATAGATAGATATGTGTTAACAAGTTTATCGTATTTTGTATTTCATTAGTTGATGAATAGAATTTATTTTGGTAAACTCCAGTTTAAGGAGTTTCTTGGTAAAGTGCAGATCTAAAGATTTTGTTTTTATCAAGTTTAATAGTTTTGTGGTCACTGGTTTAAGCACGTTTTTTGCTATAGGAAAGTTACAGGATTAAGAAGTGTTGTTGGGAATAGACTTACAACTCCAAGATCTTTGCGGTTAAAGTGCAATCTTTTTCTTTTCTGGTTTGGTTATCTCGTTTCTTGTTATCTCGTTACTAAAGATTTTTAACACATTTTTCTAAACTATTTATGCACCAAATTGCTTATGGATCCATGATATTGTTGTTTACACGATCTCTATTAACACATAAGAATAATTTTAATATTACAATTAATCCCAGTATTCATTGTAGGAATTTTCTATGTATTTTATACAGAAAATGAGTGATTTCAACCAATTTTTCTCGTCATTTATGTACACTGAGTTGATGCTGAAAAATATTAAAAATACAATTGAAACAAATTTAATTATTATTTGTTTCAGGATAATATAAATTAAACTATATTCAATATGAAACATTGGTATAATAATTTTTACTTCACTCTGTACATAACATCTTGATAATGGATTTATTAAGGGATTAAGCTTTTATAACACGAATGGAAATCTCCGGATATTCTTACAGAGTGCAGGAGGTAGCTTCTTGAAAGTATTATACATTGCTATTGTGCAGGAGCAGACATTACAAAAGTATTATACACTACTCTTGTACACGAACAAATTTTACAAAACTAGTTTGCAGTACTTTAGTACAGAAACGGATCTTACAAAAGTAATATACACTACTTTTGTACAGAAACATATTTTACAAAACTAGTTTGCAGTACTTTAGTACAGAAACGGATCTTACAAAGTAATATACACTACTTTTGTACAGAAACATATTTTACAAAACTAGCTTGCAGTACTTTAGTACAGAAACGGATCTTACAAAAGTAATATATACTACTTTTGTACAGAAACATATTTTACAAAAGTAATATATATTACTCATGTACAGTAACAGACTTTAAAAGGGTAGTATATACTACTCATGTGCAGCACAAAAATACAAACTCAGCACTATGCTTATTTAAAGCTCTTGTTCTAACGCATACACGCTTATTCAATTCATTTATTATGCTAACATTTTATATAAAACTTAATTTCACGTTTTCTTTCACTAAAATATTAGATGTTCGGCATTACAACTTGAGTATGTTAAAAAGTAATGACGCTGGCATACTAATTAACACCTACGGTTTTATAGGTCAATAGAAAAAAAAATAACTGAAAAAAAAAAAGCGTTCGAGAGGTTTTCTTCCGGGGATTCTTAGTTAAGTTGGTTATTATGTCTTCAGCATCCTATGCTGCATACTCATTTAAACAGACACAAGAACATGTGTCTCTCCATGATTGTTATTTTTTCTTCAGTTTTTTTTGTGTCTTTGAACCAGCTTGGACGTTTGGTGAAAGGCTCGATAGCCGCTACAATTGAGAGAAACCTTGTGACCTTTTTTTGAACCAAGTAATCCGAGGTTGTCGCACTAAGATTAATGCTGTTGTGTTAAGACACAGTGATACCGTGGGAGAACAGTGTGGCCAAAGTCCCGCTCTTGATGTTTCCCGCAACATTAGAAGTAGATTGAATTTAACTTGCATATTTATGTACATCTCAGAAGCGGTTCTTAGAACGTTAATTTTTCCCATGGAGTTTCCTAGTGTAAGTTTGTTGTGTGAAAAGTACTAGTTTTTGTTTGTTTGTGGTAGACAAAAAAAATCAAACAAAAAATCTTTAAAGACAAAAACATCGAGAAAAAAGTAACGTGTAGGTGTAGTAACACCTGACACTATTGTTTAGCTAATATGAAGATTTCGCAGGGTATGGGCTGCTAGCTATGAAGAGTTTCACAGAATATGGGCTGTTAGCTATTTCTTTCTTTTTTCTCACATACAGTTACTTTGTCGTGTACTGAATCTTTATGTGAACATTTTTAACTACAAATACAAATTCCATAAAAAAAGCTCACAAGCGATAAATTTAGCGTTACTGCTAAATTAATTTTTGATGTCCATTGTGTACTCCACAAACATTAACCGTTTAGCATCTAAAAATGTTATCATTTCATTTGTCAAGACTAGAAAAAAAGAACAAAAGAGTGTAACAAAGGTGCAAATTCTTAACTTGGCATTCTTTCAACATTCAAAATAGTATTTTCTCACTAATTGCCTTCCGACAGCCGTTCCTGTTCTTTCAAAACCAAGGTTGCACGCATTTGCTTAAAAAATAAACTAAAAAAACCGAAAGAAAGAAAAACTTATTTCGTAAAGCTGTAGAAAATGTTGTTTTCTTCGTGACAGTTAAATAGCGCGTTCAGTAGCATAAAATGTTAGCAACAGCTATACAGATAATCAATAAAAATATTATGACTAACAAATATCTCATCTATAAGTCAATTATTTTATGTTTATTTTACGATAAGCGCAATGCATTATTTCGTAACAGAAACATATTTTCTCAAAATGCGCATGCTCTATAAAACGTTTGACCCATGAACTTTAAACTGACATGAGACTTCTAAAGAAAGAGTCATGTTTTAGTTTCTTTATTTAACCTTTTATTACCAGTTGTTATACAGACAAGAAGACAAGAGCCAAAGACCTGACTTTTTCGCGTTCTATCAAAACAAGAAGACAGTTTTGAGCTCTGTTTTCACACATAAATATTATTTCTCAGGTGGCGGACAAGAATGATCTCTTCATAGCCTTGAGCTGCCATTACAGCGGACAATGGTCAAGATGTTGCAAAAGATATTCGCTTTTTTTATTTTGGTGACAATAGTACTCTTCACTGTGCAGGCTAGGAAAAAGGAGGTAAGTGTATCTTCGAAATAACTTTGATAAACTGTTTAGTAATGTTAAGTCCTAATAATTTTACATAATAAGGGCAAGTCTAATGAATTATGTAATAAGGATATAAGTCTAGTAAGTTATGTAATAAGGATAGTTGCAATAAAACAGTCACTGAAATACAGACAACTGCTATCAATGAGTAATGCTACCATGTTTTGATTCAATTCAAGCTTAATTTTATATTTCAACATTTATATAACTGTATAACATTTTTATCTTGAGTTTATCGTAATAGGAATTTTCTAATAAAACTATCTTGCCGTTTTTCCAATATTACAAATGTACAAAAATGGCTGTTGAATCTAGAATCGTAATTAATTTAGCAGTAACAATAATTATATGTGGCACTGTAGTCCTTTTTCAACGAACTTTTCCTCGTGTGCAGTCTTCATCAAGACTGTTTATGGTCTTTTGAGACGACACGTCTTTCACATATTGGAATGGCATTTTTTATTTATTTTTTGCTGTGTTAACTGAAAATATGATCCTTAGGTGTATTCCTGATACAGACTATTGTGTCCCGTGACAATACGTACCTGAGGTACAGTTCTGATACAGACTATTGTGTCCCGTGACAATACGTACCTGAGGTACAGTTCTGATACAGACTATTGTATTCTGTGACAATATGTACCTGAGATACAGTTCTGATACAGACTATTGTATTGTGTGACAATACGTACCTGAGGTACAGTTCTGATACAGACTATTGTGTCCCGTGACAATATGCCCTTCAGGTGTAGATTTTTTTTAGAGACTACTGGGTCCTGTGATTTTAGTTCTTGTCCTAATAAAGACTTTAATGCTTTGTAACATTATTCCCCTTAGCTCTAGGCTTAATAAGGAATTTGATGCTCTGTACTAATGTTGTGACCATTAGTTCCAGTCCTAAAACAGAGTGGTGTTCTACAACAATATATTTTAAGACGTGCTAAGTCTAGTTCAGATGCAGTCTGTTTATGGCTTTCTGTGATGGTATGTCCGCTAAGTCTATTCTAGATGCAGTCTGTTTATGGTTTTGTGTGATGATATGTCCCCTAAATCTATTCTAGATGCAGTCTGTTTATGGTTTTGTGTGATGATATGTCCCCTAAATCTATTCTAGATGCAGTCTGTTTATGGTTTTGTGTGATGATATGTCCCCTAAGTCTATTCTAGATGCAGTCTGTTTATGGTTTTTTATGATGGTATGTCCCCAAAGTCTATTCTAGATGCAGTCTGTAACTATGGACATAGCAGTCATGATCCTCAAGACAAAAGTAACCAAGTTTTTAAGACTTTTCTGTTAGGCTAGCTCAAGAATTTTCATGAATAGACAAGAAAAGCCTTTTTTCCATTTCTTGACGTGTGACTGTCAGCGTACTGTTCTATTCTTTTCCTACTCTTTTTTATGCTTTATTTTTTATTGTTCCGGTATATTACTTGATACTTGGCGATGCTGCAACAACAACATATTGACAATTACTTTTTTTACTGAATGTATTTACAACAATTCTAATGACGTTTGTAATGGCGTTTTCGAATCTTTCGTGGCTAAAACATGAAACGTACAAAACAAAATCTGATTCATCGTATTTTCACTTTCTCTTCTTCGAAATAACATATTTTGATTTATATCATCACATAATACAAAATATTCGATGCTATTTTATCATTTTTCACCCACCGTGCATCAACGTCATTAACGAGGTGACAGATATGTATCTTCTTGCCTTATATGAGTAGGCTATATAATGAGCATGAAACGTTATATCCCACAATTAATTATACAAAAAAACAAACTAACTAAGAAAAAAAAAAAAAACATGGATATCGATGTCAATGTTTGACTTGTGGTTTTACAGTTTTGTTTCGTTAAGCTTAAAAAATATTTACTATTTTTTTTCTCTTTGGCTAGAGTTTAGAAAAATAGAAATAAATCATCGTAAACTAGTTCACGCTATGCACATTGCTCTTGCCAGAAAAAACAAAACAAAATGTTTTATATACTATGCAGAGGCAACTTACGGCTTCCGTAATCTTGGTTTACAAGAAAATCCACACATACAGGTGATAAACAAATGGATTTTTATTTTTTGGTGTAAATAGCTCAGTAGCTATCTGTGTTTTAAAAATATGAATAGCGGATGAAATAGAAAGAAAACAGACAAACCTACCAGATTAATAAAGATATATTTACATGGTCGCGTGGTTTTAAATATGGTGATATTTATATATTGATTTAATATTATTTCATAGTTATAACATCAATGTGGTTAACTCAGAGAAAGAATGTGAATTATCTCAAAGACTTTACGGCTAAGTTCCTGGTCGCCAGGGTGCCGCTGATATTAATATCATGTCTGTAGCCTTTAAAATTACGATTCGCAAGTGAGTATAATAATTTCTTATACGTGTTTTATTTATGGAGAAGTACCTTATCCCTCAGAAAATATGACATATTCTTTAAAAAGTGACAGACTTGGATTGTGAAAACACTATTTTTCTTTACACGAATTTAAATGAATGGAATCATGACGTTTTTCATGTTCCTGCTCTCGCGCGATTAGCGAATTTCAGAAGCAGTGACTGTTTGTATTAGGCTTATGGAGTGAAGTCTTGCAACATGTCACTTGAACTGTTTCATAAAAAATGTCCACTACTGTGAAGCTGCGTTCTGTCATGGATCCTAGCAAATCGTCTTTTACGCTTCTCACATCTCCATAATTACGTCTCCAAGTTTCTGAGAGTAATGCATATTAGAAGACACGTTTTTCGATTGATAAGGGATCTCTATTGGTCGCCCCATAGCCGACGACAGCAATGAAGTGACCCTTAAAATTTAGTGGGATGAAGGGGAGGAAATGCTGATTAATAACAGCAGTGGCTCTCCTAGCATATGTGCTTCAGTTGTTTCCCGACATGCATTGCTTAGAATAGATGGAAGTACCATACCCGGTTTTAATCGCACTCACCAACAACCACGTGTTGTTTGGAGACCTGTCACTCATGGTGGTGTTGACTTCGTGTGTGGATTTCTCATTGACCGTGCCTTCTCACTTTTCTCATCAACAACTGAAATAACATGGAATTTTTGGTCCGAATCTAAGCATTGTTGACTTCATTACACACGCACACCATTTTAACACCTAAACTGGTGTTGTTCTAAGTGTTAGTAGTATTCTCTTCCCTACCAAGTAAAGTGATATGGTTTCGGCTGGTTACCATGGTATTAATACTCTTGCATCCATCATAATAACAACTGAAATAACGTGATATTGCTACCTTGAATTTTTCCAGTAGTGGCTTAGCTACTGTCACATATATAGCACTATTTGTGAAAATGAAAAACAATAAGATAATCCCAGTATTCTTCTGAATTAGT